TGAGCCAACCAACCACACACGTGCACGCTCCTACTTCTCCTCAATACTGGTTCTCTTCACAACTGTACCTCTACTTTAAGTACTTTTTCTGGCATTTTTCAACACACTTGGAATCTGAATTTTGACACGACATTTCTTGAACACGCACAACCAATACCACGGGTTACGGAACGCAACAAAAATATGTGTCACAACGTGGCGGAATCAGGCGCTCATCAATTTTTGGGCATATGGGGTTATTGGTATCATCTTCAAGCCTGTTCATTTGACTTCATTTTGATGAAAAAATATCCATCTATGTTGAATAAAAGTCGAAGTATTTGCGACTGAAAGAGGTCAGGTTGCCTGGTTCCAGGGGTACAATTGACGAGAAAATGGCTGGCAGAGTGGACTGAGAATCCTTGGAAACTGAAAATGTACATTTTGTGCCTCTAATCAAACATAAAAATGTGTTTTTCAAAGGACAGAAAAGGAAAAGATGTTGAGCCAAAAAAAAGAAAACTAGAAAAAAATTGTCCATTGGCCAAAAAAAAATGCCAATATCTTTGAATTTCCTTCTTTTGACGAGCTCCTGATTTGACCACGATGCCTCACAGATTAAAACAATTGTGGGCTCAGTACATGAGAACAGCGGGCCGAGGAACTATTTGATAAGTCAGGTCTAGAGAGAGTTACCAGACGTTTGAGTATCCATACTTGGAACTTTAAAGTATACGTCAGTAAAAGGGATAAAGTTATCACAGTCGGTGTGTGCCAAGGGCAGGAGAGAGTTGAGTTGTCCACGCCCCAGGGGAAAAAGTTGCTGGTATCAGGATAACTTACAAATGTGTGTGGTTTGTGTGCGTGCGTGCGTGTGTGTGTGCGTGCATGCATGCATGCAAGAGTGTGTGTGCGCAAACATGCTTTGTGTGTGCGTTTGTGCGTGCATGCCTGCGCGCGTGGGTGTGTGTGTGTGTGTGTGTGTGTGTGTGTGTGTGCGCGTGCGTGCGTGCGTGCATGCGTGCGTGCGTGTGTGTGTGTGTGTGTGGATGGCAAATATAACAGTCCTGACTCTCTATTGGACGGTGAGGATTTTGACAAATCACTGGACAATATCATATATACGTACTAAACAAATTTTCTTTTGGATCGTTTCAACTCCCAAAGAAAGATGAAGCAATCTATATCTAAATATTATACCGTAACTTTAAGTACATTTTTGTGGGTGCTTTCAAAAAAGCGGCCACCCAATTGAGACCAGTATTTCCCACTGGATGGAATGTGCATTGAGCTGACAAACTGAAGTATAAGATACATGCCACCCTCAAAGTGACGGGGTTCCGACTCCGAGACAAAGAGGTTTGGAGGAAACAGGACAGGGAGATTCACTCCAACTCCAACAGCTAAAAATGGTTTCACACTTTACTTGTGAATTGTGAAGCGTGCTGACAAAACAAGTTACTTCTCGGATTCAAGCCTTAAGGACATAGATACATCACGCTGAAGATTTTACAATTTAGAACATTGAAATAATAAAAGCCAGGTTATAGTTAAAGAATATGGCATCAAAAGAAAACTTGTAAATTTGACTCTTGTGTAGATTTTTGGTCAATATCTCAAATTTGACCCTTGTGTCGATTTTTGGTCTATATCTCCATTTGTGGATTGCGAGAAGAAACTCATTTTGTCAGAATGCCTCACACTTGTCAAATTGAAAAAAAAAAGAGGGTCAGATTATCTCGAGTCCTTGACACACTGTGTGGGGCATCTGTGTCACTAGTGTGTAACACGTTTGGTTTCAGTAAGAGTTTTCGGCATTTGCAACACAATAAGGTCATATAAGTGCCGAAGAATGGATTATGTGTTACAAGGGAGTAACAAACACAAAAAAGAAGGAGGGGCAATGAAGACAATAGACGTTAAATAGGAAAGAAGGAGCAAACCCCACCAGAGCACCTGCCAACCACCCACGTGCAGTGTGGAACTCAGTTCTTGCGACAACAACAACAACAACAACATCAACAACAACACAACAACAACAACAAAGGAGTGAGAACCCTGTCTTTCTAAGGGTGGGAAATATCATAAAAGTTCAACCAAATAAAACAAAACTAAAACACAAAACACAAAAATATGCCACATCAAGCGGTAGCAAAGAGAACTGTACACAGACACCGCGCCGCCACTCTTTAGTTTGAGTAACAACACAATAAGGTCATATAAGTGCCGAAGATTAGATTACGTGTTACAAGAGAGTAACATACACAAAAAAGGAGGAGGGGAGATCAGGACGACAGATGTTTAATAAGAAAGAAGGAGCAAACCACACCAGAGCACCCGCCAACCTACAAGAGGAAGCAGACACCACTGGAGCAAACATCTTTGGCAAAGGTTCAAACACCTGCCCCTCACTTTGTACACAGTCACTCCAAGCAGCGTACCAGCCCAGGAATAATGGGCAACATTGAGATCCCAAAACTGACACATGTTCATAAATACACATATACAGATGTTCATACATACACACATACATATATTCATAAATACACACATACAGATGTCCGTAAATACGCTAGTGACATACAGATGTCCATAAATACACACATACAGATGTCCGTAAATACACACATACAGATGTCCGTAAATACGCTAGTGATATACAGATGTCCATTAATACACACATACAGATGTCCATAAATACACACATACATTATCCATAAATACACACATACAGATGCTCCTAAATCCACACATATATATACATAAATGATATAAAACACAAACACCATTCATATGTGAAGCAATGAAACAAGGAAACAAACTCATCATATTATGAGCACACTACCTCTCTCTGTCTCTCTCTGTCTCTCTCTGTCTCTCTCTGTCTCTCTCTGTCTCTCTCTGTCTCTCTC